TAAATTAATTAATTAAATAAATTAAATAACAAACTGAGGCTGGAACTTCACTGGTGGTCCAGTGGTTAAGACTCCAATGCAGGGTACACTGGTTCGATCTCTGGTCAGGGGACTAAGATCCTACATGCTGTGTGGCAAGGCCAAAAAGAAAAAAAAAAGAAAACAAACTGAGACCATGAGACCACCTTACACATTAGGATGGCTAATATGTGATATATATATTTGTTGTGAAAAATGTAAGTTTTTAATCTAATGTGTTTTTTAATTGAGCATTTATTTTTTTAAAAAACTGTAGAATTGATGTTGCACATCTGGTTAGACCTCATAATGGCCTTGTCAGTATACTTTGGACAAAATTAGAATTTTGGACTGGATTTATAATATATATCAGTACCAACCATTACATATGTTTATTGTTTGTCCTCACACCATATGTCTCCTCTATTTCTGCATTCCAAACATGGTGGATATCTTCAGATCTCTGATAACTCTGTGAAGCTATGTGTGGGGCTCTAGAGGTGTTTTTCGTCTACCTGGAACTCCTGGATCTGAATATGCCTTAAAAATTTGTTTTTAAAGTAACCATATAAGATACAAGTACATAAAGACACAAACTTTTTATGTCTAAATTTCCTGTTTCTTTCCATAGTACTTATTTAATGAAAACTTTCTGAAGAGTTGCTACTAGGTAGTATAGTATAAGTAGATTAAGTAAATTCTGTATAACTAGAGAAAATTTTCATTTTCTGCATATTCTATTAACTCTAGAAATGCAAGAATTTATCTGTTCTTATTCAGCAATATATCCCAATTAATGAATGAAAATTGAAAGCCCCTTAGCCAATCACCTTTTCATTGTATTATTATTTGTACCTGACCATCACCTAAGTTAAAAAAGAAAATTAGGGACTTCCCTGTTGGTGCAGTGATTAAGAATCTGCTTGCCAATGCAGGGGACACGGGTTCCAGCCCTGGTCCAGGAAGATCCCACATGCTGCAGAGCAATTAAACCCATGCGCCACAACTACTGATCCTGTGCTCTAGAACCCACGAGCCACAACTACTGAGCCTGCGTACCACAACTACTGAGTCCCATGCGTCTAGAGCCTGTTTTCTGCAAGAAGAGAAGCCACCGCAATGAGAAGCCCGAGCACTACAATGAAGAGTAGCCGCTACAATGAAGAGTAGCCGCCACTCGCCACAACTAGAGAAAGCCTGTGCACAGCAACAAAGACCCAATGCAGAGAAAAATAAATAATAAATAATAAATAAATAAATTTAAAACAAATTGAGGTCCAGAGCTCTCACGTGGCTGAACTAGGAAGGAGTAGATCCCAAAATTTCCCTTAAAAAAATTAATTGTTTCACTGCAGAAATAAGAAGACAAATGTTTAACAATATTAGGAAAATAATTTTTTGGGAGCAGAAATCATAGAAAAATCACTGCTGATGAGAACAAAGGGGCTGAAAGCTGGGAAATCCGGAGCTAGTAGCAGAGATGTTTCCATCAGCCACTGGCCTGGATTTACAATTACAGTAACACAAAGACTCAAAATGGAAGAGAGACAGTAAAAAGAGATGAAGAAACTCACCAGGATAAGGATGGTGCATGTGGCTTTGGCCACGTGGGGAGGTCTGGGGTAAAGTCTGTTGCTGTGGATGTATTGGGCTCGCTGCTTGTATCTGTGCAGGACAAATATCATGCACCCACTAGTCCAGATCTTGAAGCCCAAATAACATCCAGGGGATAAAATATAAATGCATGTAATAAGCCGAGATTTCTGTCTGACGTGGCTGAGAAACCGTATGTAAAAATTTTTTTCACACATTTGTGCTGTTTCTAGGACCAATCACATTCATAGGAATATAGACATTTACCAACAGCTGAAGGAACCAGAAAAGGAAAGTAAAGAAGCCAATGCATTTGGGGAGATTGAATTCTGAAGTCTATTCACCAAGAGGTTCTGGGGCAAAACTTAATGGCCAGGAAGCCACTCAGAAGGCAGGTAGTGCCGAGAGAAACCCCCGTGGCCACTCTGTAAATACAAGACAAATGTACACCCAAGATCATAGAGGAAGTGTTTCAATCCAAAAGCTGTCATTGTCTGTGGGATCCCTCTGGAGCTAAGAGCCAAGTTGTTGGGGAGGCTAATAAAATAGTCTTGTTCAGGCTTCAGAGACAACAATAGGCTTTTGACTAAACAAAGATTCTGAAAGAGCTACACATCAAGCTGCTAGACTACATGCAGGTCAGCAGAAACGGTGTTAGTCAGTCTTGGGATCCAACAGATAAAGAAGGGAGTAAGTCACAAAGCTTCCTGGGACTTGGGAATCTGGCTAGTTCCTAGAATTCAGCGAACATTCTGAGACTTACAACTAAAGTATCAAAATATTTGCGTTAATAATCAGAGCTGCGTACTTGCACGCAAGCTGATGACTATCAGCTTGCGGCTTGGCGTTAAAAGCAGGACTCCTTTGGGCAGCACTCTGAAGTCCCACCCGTGGGGTGGACTCACCGCCCGGGACCTTCCCAACTGGGACTCCAGATTGCTGTTCAAGGGAATTCCTAGCTGCCACTTGGATCTGGAAGTAGGTGTCGGCCCAATTCGGTGATGTATGCTCTGTTATATACTCTGTTAATATTATTGCTCTCCCTCTAATGATTGTATATTGAAATTTATATACTCTGTTAATATTCTTATTGCTTTCTCTCTAATGATTGTATATTGAAGTTAAGTTAAATCACTTTCTATTAAAGATTTGATTGAAGCTGTTTATTCGTGTGAGACAAGTGGTTATTTTGCCAGCGAATCCAACGAACCTTAAAACTGAAAGCAGGGGCCTTCCCTGGTGGCGCAGTGGTTGAGAGTCCGCCTGCCGATGCAGGGGACACAGGTTCGTGCCCCAGTCCGGGAAGATCCCATATGCCGCGGAGCGGCTGGACCCGTGAGCCATGACCGCTGAGCCTGCGCATCCAGAGCCTGTGCTCCACAACGGGAGAGGCCACAGCAGTGAGAGGCCAGCGTACAGCCAAAAAAAAAAAAAACTGAAAGCAGGCTTTTGGCAAAACCGTTGTTGGCCAAGATCAGTTTGTTGTCAGTCTGATCAGTGGGTCTCAACTTGTAACTGGTGAGCAAGGTGAAGTTATGAAGACAAAGGCAGGAGGAGTTTTCTAGGACCCCAGCTCCAGCGTGAGTGAGGAACATAATCCCTATTTCCAAGTTGGCATGCCCATCACTTTAATATCTAGGAGATATTGATTTTAATTTGAGACAAAGAAATGGTAGAAAGATAAACATAAATGTATTACCTACTTCTACTCAGCTGTATCTTCTGCTCAGCTGTATCAGATAAATGGGCACTGAGTAATCTGGAGAAAGTAAATCTTGCCTAATATACAGGTGTTTCTAAGCTCAGCCAGTTATTCAATTGTTTTTGATAGTTATATTTTTTCCAAAAAACAGAAAAATCTATCTTGGGTTAGGAATCCACCAATATTGATAATTTTGTAAAGTCTATATTAAGAAAATTGTGCGTTGCACACGAAACTGCTCTGTTTTCAGTGAAACCTCTGGGTAGCCTCTGTACATCAGAGCAAACCAGTTTCAGTAATAGATAAAAATGTGGAAATACAAAGTGAAATATTATCTAAAGATTAGCACATTCACTAGCTGGGGCCAGGATAAGTAGGTACGCATTGACTGATTAGGCCTTATGATTAAGAGGGAAGGTCAGGGAATTCCCTGGCGATCCAGTGGTTAGGACTCCACCCTTTCCCTGCTGTGAGCCTGGGTTTGATCTCTGGTTGGGGAACTTGTAAGGTCGGATCTTAACAAACGGCACCGCGGAACAGAGGAAAGCTTCAAGTGAGCTTTATTAGGGAGCGCTCCTGGGCGAGGTTCACTGGTCTGAGAGAAAGGAGCCAGAGAAGTCGCGCCCGGGCGAGGGTTTGGACAGAATTTATAGGGGAAGAAGGGGAAGGGGTGTGGTGAATCCGGGAGGGCGCAGGGTAGTCCTTATTTGGTGGTCTCTTCGGGTATCGTGGCAATATCTGGTGCCGGTTGCATCAGTCTTGGGACCGTTAGTCCCGCCCCTAGAAAGGCGGGAAGGCTGGGCCGGGTGGAAAGTCCCCAGGTCAGTTCCTGGAACTGGGTGTGTGGGAGCTCCAGGTCAATTCCGAGAACTGGGTGTGTGGAACGTTCCGGGCTGATGCAACCTGTGAGTCTGATTGCGTTCCCCTGCCTCGGGCCAGTTGGCCTTACAGAACTAAGATCTCAAAAGCCACACAGTGCGGCCAAAATAAATAAATAAATAAAATAACAATAGTAAGGGAAGTTCATTCACGTGAATAGAGTGTAGGTGAATCAGACTGGTGGAGCAAGGAAAGTACAAAAAGCAAGAGAACAGCTATCGTGGGTGGCCTGATCATCAGTTTTTGTCACTGAATTGGGCACAATCACCAACTATGCAGTCAGAAGAGTCTTTTCTAGGGGGACGAGAAGCAGTGCTTTCCCTCTTGCCGAGCAGGCCTGTCCAAAATCTCCTCTCCATATTCCCAGTCAGCGTTCTGTCTGACTTTTTTCTGGTCCCTGAACAAAGCCCACAAAATCACTTTAACTCTTCAGGCTGCATGTATATCAGGAGCAATAGGATAATGTTTAGTCTTTGTTCCTGTTACCAGTGGGTTTAAACGTGGGATGGTTTAAAGGATTCCGAGATAATGCACTCCCCGACCCCATGGGTCCTCCGCCCCAGTAATAAGGCTGGAGCCCCCCCACCCCAGCCCTAGAGGTCATTTCCTAGTGCTCCTCCTGGTGCTTCTTGGCTTTTTCCCAAGTGGGGCTTCCCGGTGTGGGGCTTCCTTCCTTGAGATTTTTGCACTACATTACCCAGAAGAATTTGTGCTAAGGGGCAGCGACTTTCATCCAATGAAAATCGAGCAAGGGGGCATTTCCGGGAGGGCGAATCTCCTGGAGAGGGACTTCCGGTTTCTTCGTGGCTGCCATTTTAATTACGGTGAAGTCTCTGTAGATGGTCAGGGGCTTCTGTGTGCGGTGTTGGGAGCGAGGTGACAGGCTAAGAGGCGCAAGAGGAGGCTCTGTGCGCACTGAACCGGGGCGGTTTTGAGGGTCGGGGACAGACACTTGCAGTGTCCGTGCAGAGTGGGACCCGGTCGGTCGACTGTCGCCACTCCTTTCCGTCCAGAAGTTCCGATGGCGGCGTCTGCGCTGAGGGACCAGGCTCAGGTAAACGCTGTGCGTTCCGAGTTCTCCCCGGCCTGTCTCCCCACCCAGATACGAACGGCCCGCGTGGGAGGCGGCTGTTCACGTCGCTTTATCCCAGGCCCAGGGTCTAGGACAGAGGGGCCTCCAGGGGTCTTTTCCCTTTTTCTGCCTGCGTGAGACTTGGAGATGGAACTGAAGCAGGAACATTCCGGGAACCTGGAGTCCATCTTGTTTCTGCAAGGAAGAAAGTTTGAGGCCAGGTTGCATCTGGAGTGGTAGATGAGAGGTTATACCTTTCTTCTCCGAGAGGAAAGCCCTCCGAGAAGGGCTCCGAGAGCCCTCGGAGCGGTGGAGAGTTTTGAACACAGGAAAGACACCATCTGAATTAGGCCTTTAAAAATACTCCAGAGCCTGTTTGGTGGAAGTACAGACTGTAGGGGGTGATGAGATTATTGAGGCAGAGGGAAGTTGTGACTTTTCCAAAGTCACAACTTGTAAGAGGTAGCACCGGGGACCGAGGCACGGAGGAGAGGTTTGCTAGTCATCCCGATGTTACCTGGCTCTGGTACCTGACAGAGGTCCAGTTGTGAGAAGGACAGAGATGTCCTTGGGAAAAAGAGAAAGGCAGAGCCTAGCTCACAGCATAGAGGTGTGTGTGAGGGCTTTACCCAGCATGCATACAAGTGCATGAGCCTCTGGAACACAGCCATGTTCTCTTTCCTCCATAGTTTGCCTTTTCTTACATGTTCCCAGGCTGCAGAAACACTTGGAGCAAGTGGAGGTTGTCCCAGTCCCTCGCTTGTTCTCACCCCCCACGCACACATTCTCTGTATTTGAGGTGTATTGGGGCTCTTCACCTGCCATTCTCCCAGCTCTTTTGTTTGGGGACCCTGGAGAACCCCATGCTCAGTTTCCTGAGTGAAGGCCGGGTTCTATGGAGGGGTTTCCCATTTCCCAACACCAGTGGAAGGAGGCGTGGAAGGTTACTCATGAATCCAATACCAGTATGTGGAAGTGCTCTGAGGTGAGGCTGAGCTGGTTTAGGTAAGTGCAGATCTCCTTTTTTCTGGTGGAAATAAACAGGGAAGGGCAAGAGTTAGACTTGAAATGACTGCCTATGTATTCTGGAGGAAAAGGGAGGTGCAGATCAAAGGAAGATGGTTTTCTTCCCCAGGTCCCAAGAAGCTCCATCTGATTGGGTAGTAGGGGAAATGTGTAGGAAGATGGATTGTGGGTTTTCAGGAGTGAGACTGTTCATGGTTTTATTTGTCCCTGTTTACCAGGGCAGTGTGACCTTTGAGGATGTTGCCGTGTACTTCTCCTGGGAGGAATGGTGTCTTCTTGATGAGGTTCAGATACACCTGTACCTTGATGTCATGCTGGAGAACTTTGCACTTGTATGCATGCTGGGTAAGGTCCTCACACCCACCCCTATCCTCTGAGCGAGGCTCTGCCTTTCTTCTCTTCCCCAAGGGCAGCTCTGTCCTTCTCACATCTGGAACACAGGCACTGCTTTCTTCAATTTCTTGGTTATGTGCTGTGGTTACTATGGCTAGGCAGAGTGCATCCCTATTCCTTAGTGCCGGGACACCTGTAGCTCCAAAGTTTTGCAGGTGAGGATTTAGGTTCAGTAGTCTTGCACTCAGTCTGATAGATCCCTCCTTGCTCGCCCTCTCTGCCCAGGCGATTGTCAAAATCCATGGTACCCAAGTTTTGCTCCATTCCTCTCCATGACATTTTTTTGTGCCTTACTTCACAACAGACTGTTGTCACTGACATGGTCGTTACTAAAACAGACCATGAGCCGTTTCTGTAAGACCTTTTTCCGAGGTTCCAATTTCTGTTTATCAACACTGGCATCTGTTAAGCATTCCGGTCAGCAATGAATGAAATTCCTGTTGCTCCACACCCTTATAGCATTTGGTGTTGTGAATGTTTGGATTTTGGCCCTTCTCACAGGTATGTAATAGTGTGTACTTTTCAGTTTAATTTGCATTTCCTTGCATCTTTGTATATGCTAAATTGTCATCTGTATATCTTATTATTATTATTTTTGGCTACGTTGGGTCTTCATTGCTGCACGTGGGCTTTTTCTATTTGCGGTGAACAGGGTCTACTCTTCATTGTGGTGCGCGGGTTTCTCATTGCAGTGGCTTCTCTTGTTGCAGAGCATGGCCTCTAGGCACGCAGGCTTCAGTAGTTGTGGCACGTGGGCTTCAGTAGTTGTGGCTCACAGGCTCTAGAGCGCAGGCTCAGTAGTTGTGGCACACGGGCTTAGTTGCTCCGTGGCATGTGGGATTTTCACGGACCAGGGCTTGAACCTGCGTCCCTGCATTGGCAGGCGGATTCTTAACCACTGCGCAACCAGGGAAGTCCTGTATATCTTCCTTTAATGAGGTGTTTGTTAAGATGCTTTGCTTATTTGGTATTTGGGTTTTTGTTTTCTTACTAAGTTTTAAGAGTATTTTTGTATTTAGCATTTAGGTCTGTGATCCATTTTGAGTTAATTTTTTGTGAAGGTTTGTGTCTAGAATTCATTTCTTGGCATGTGATGTTCGGTTGTTCCAGTACTATTTATTCAAAAGACTTAATTTTCTCCATTGTATTGCACTTGTTCATCTGTCAAAGGTCAGTTGAGTGTATTTCTATGGGTCTATTTCTGGGTTTTCAATACTGTTCATTGAACAGTTTCTCTGTCTTTTCAGCAATATCACACTGGCTTGATTACTTTACATACTAAGTCTTAAAGTTGAGTAGTGTCAGTCTGCCAGCTTTGTTCTTCTTAAGTTTTGTGTTGGCTATTCTCGGACTTTTGCCTTTTTGTATAAATTTTAGGATGAAAGTATTTATGTCCACAAAATAACTTGCTGGTATTTTGATTTGGGTTGCATTGAATCTATTGATGAAGTTGGGAAGAACGGACATCTTGATGATACTGGGTTTTCCTGTTTATGAACGTGAAATAGCTTTCCATTTATTTAGTTCTTTGATTTCTTTATTAGAATGTTTGATCGTTTATTTGTTTTTTGGCTACTCTGTGAGACCTGAGGAATTTTAGTTCCCCTACTAGGGATCGAACTCAGGCCCATGGCAGTGAAAGCATGCAGTCCTAACCATTGGACCACCATGGAATTCATGATTTCTCTATCTAAGTTTTATAGTTTCTCTCATGTATATCTTGTACATGTTTTGGTAGATCTGTAACTCAATATTTCTTTCTATTGCTCTCTTTTTTTTTTTTGAGAGGGTGGTAATTTACATGGTATTGTGTTTTTAATTTCAAATTCACTTGTTCATTGATGGTATATAGGACATAATTGACTTTTGTATATTAAGCTTATGTCCTGAAAGCTTGCTATAATTGCTTCTTAGTTCCAGGAATTGTTTTTTCCTCTATTTTTTGGGTGTTTTACATAGCTGATCATGTCATATGAGAATGAAGACAGTTTTATTCCTTCCTTCCTGATCCGTATGCCATTTATATAACCTCATCTCATTGCCTTTGTTTTGACTTCCACTGTAAAGTTGAAAGGGAGTTGTAAAAGGGAACATCCTTGCCTTCTTCGTCTTAGTGGGAGAGTTCTAGTTTTTCTCTAGTAAGTATGATAGTAGCTATAGGGTTTTATTTAGTTTATCAAGTTTAAGTATTTTTTCAATTTTTAGGTTATATCATATGGAGATTTTGAATATGAGTGGCTGTTGGATTTTGTCAGATCCTTTTTCTGCATCTATTGATGAGATCATGAGTTGGTTTTTAACCTGTTGATGACATGGATTATATTAATTGATTTTTTAATGTTAAGTCAGCATTGTATAACGTAGATCATTCTCAGTTTGTCATGGTGTATAATCCATCCTTCCTTCCTTCCTTCCTTCCTTCCTTCCTTCCTTCCTTGCCTTCCTCCCTCCCTCCCTCCCTCCCTCCCTCCCTCCCTCCCTGCATTGGATCTTCATTGCTGCGCACAGGCTTTCTCTATTTGCGGTGATTGAGGGGCTACTCTTCATTGTGGCATGCGGGCTTCTCATTGCAATTGCTTCTCTTATTGTTGAGCATGGGGCTCTAGGTGCGCGGGCTCAGTAGTTGTGTCTTTCAGGCTCAGTCATTGTGGCTCACGGTCTTAGTTGCTCTGCAGCATGTGGGATCTTCCCAGACAAGGGCTCCAACCCCTGTCCCCTGCATTGGCAGGCGGATTCTTAACCAGTGTGCCACCAGGGAAGCCCTCCTTTTTCACTTTGATATTAATAATTTGTGTCCTCCCTTGTTTTTGTGACTAGGCTGACTAGCATGTTTTTGATTTTATTGGGCATTTTAAAGAACCAGCTTTTTTTTGCCTTTGTTGATTTTTCTCTACTGATTTTTTAAATTATTTCTTTTTTTCTTCTTTTGTATTTCATTTTCTCCTAGTTTCCTAAGATAGAGGCACAGATGACTGATTTTAGGTTTTTCATCTTATCTAATATATGCATTCAGTGCTACCGATTGCCATATAAACACTGCTTTCACTGCATCGGCATTTTTTTTTTAAGTTTATTTTTCGGTGCGTTGGGTCTTCGTTGCTGTGTGTGGGCTTTGTCTAGTTGCAGTGAGTGGGGACTACTCTTCGTTGTGGTGCACAGGCTTCTTATTGTGGTGGCTTCTCTTGTTGTAGAGCGTGGGCTCTAGGGGTGCGGACTTCAGTAGTTGCAGTGTGTGGGCTCTAGAGCGCAAGCTTAGTAGTTGCGGCACACGGGCTTAGTTGCTCTGCAGCATGTGGGATGTTCCCAGACCAGGGCTTGAACCCGTGTCCCCTGCATTGGCAGGCAGATTCTTAACTGCCACCAAGGAAGTCCCCATCTGCATGTTTTCACAACTGCTGTGTTTCTTTCTTTCAAAATACTTAAAAATTTATCTTAATATTTATTCTTTGACCCATGTTTTATTTGGAAGTGTATTGTTGAATTTATCAGTGTTGTGCAATTTTACAGCTATCCTTTTGTTACTGGTTGCCGGTGTAATTCCACTTTGTTCTGAGAACTGATCTTGTATGTTTTCTATTCTTTTAAATTTGTTAAGGTGTGTTTTCTGGCCCAAGGTGTAGTCCATCTTGTGAATGTTCTATGTCAGTTTGAGAAGAATATTCTGCTGTTTTTGAATGGAGTAGCCTAGTAATCTGTAGGTGACTGTTACATCCAGTTGACTGATGATGGTGATCCTCAGTTTACCAGCATCCTTATAGATTTTTTTCTTTTCTGGATCTGTTCATTTCTTAGAGAGGTTTGTTGAATGAAGTCTCCAAGTGTTATAGCAGATTCATCTATTTTTTACTTGTAGGTCTGTTTTGCCTCATATTTTGAAATTGTGTTGTTAGACGCAGACATGTTAAGGATTGTTGTGTATTCTGGAGTATTGACCCCTTTACCATTGTGTCATTCTCATTATCCCTGATGACTTTGCTTATGCAAAATCTGCTGTGATATCAGTATAGTTACTACCACTTTTCTTTTTTTTCTTTTGATTTGTGTGGACCTCTTTTTCTGTATTGACATACTTTTAATTTATATGCATCTTTTTTTTAAGCATTTTTTCAAAAAATTTTTGTGGTATGTGGGCCTCTGACTGCCGTGGCCTCTCCCACTGTGGAGCATAGGCTCCAGATGTGCAGGCTTAGTGGACACGGCCCACGGGCCCAGCAGCTCTGCTGCATGCAGGATCCTCCTGGACCGGGGCACGAACCTGCGTCCCCTGCATCGGCAGGCGGACTCTCAACCACTGCGCCACAGGGAAGACCTTTAAGCATCTTTTTAAAAAAAATTTAAAATTTTGATTATGCTGGGTCTTAGTCGAGGCTCGCAGGCTCCTTAGTGGTGACTCACTTGCTCCTTTAGTTGTGGCATGTGTGCTCCTTAGTTGCGGCACGTGTGCTCCTTAATTGTGGCTGGTGGGGTCCTTAGTTGTGGCTTATGGGTTCCTTAGTTGCAGCTCGGAGGCCCCTTAGTTGTGGTGTGCAAACTCTTAGTTGTGGCATGCATGTAGGATCTAATTCCCAGACCAGGGATCAAACCCGCGTCCCCTGCATTAGAAGGTGGACTCTTTTTTTGGGGGGGGGGTACACAGCCCTCTCACTGTTGTGGCCTCTCCAGTTGCAGAGCACAGGCTCCGGACGCACAGGCTCAGCAGCCATGGCTCACGGGCCTAGCCGCTCTGCGGCACGTGGGATCTTCCCAGACCAGGGCACGAATCCGCATCCCCTGCATCGGCAGGTGGACTCTCAAGCACTGTGCCACCAGGGAAGCCACCTACTTCCCATTTTTATTCTGACTCCAGCCTGGGATAATTTCCCTACCACCTCTCTAACCCATTTATCTCATGTGGTCTTCACATTGTTTTCCCCTTAGTACTTACTGGTATTGTTTATGTCCTCAACCATGTATATATCCTTTAATATTTCTTGAACACCAGCTACCAGTTGCAGTCAGATTTTCTGGGGCCTGGAAATACACTTCTGCATAGTATGATAGGTCACCAGTAGATGTGGTCCTGTAAAAGCCATTGACAGAGGAGTGAATTGTCGAACTTGCCTTTTGCCTTGGGCCACATCCAGTCCCTGTGTCTTGTACTTGATGAGAGCACCTTCTTTCCCAATTTGACCCCAACTCCATTTCCTGAACACAATCCTGTGGACTGCTTCCTTCATGTGTCAGATATACAGTTGTGATGGTGTCACTCACACCCAATAACATGAACAAGAACTTCACCATCATTTCTTTGTTTTCAGGTTCTTGGCACTGGGTCGAGGATGAAGAGACACCTTCTGAACAGAGCGTATCTGCAGAAGGAGTGTCACAGATCAGGACTTCCAGCGCAGGTTCATCTCTTGAGAAGACCCAGCCCTGTAAGATGTGCCTCCCAGTCTTGAAAGACATTTTGCACTTGGCTGAAGAGCAAGGAACAAATAGGGGGCAGAAAGCATACACATGTGGGGCATGTGGGAAACAGTTCTATTTCACTGCAAACCTTCAAGAGCACCAGAAGCAGCACATTAGAGAGAAACCCTTCAGCTGTGATATGGGGAGACACGCATTTTTCAAAAGCTGCACAATCCATGCAACAGGGAATCTCTCTAGCTACATGGAGATTGGGAACAACTATGTGGCCAAAATGGGACTTCAGAAAGAGGTCACTAATACCAGGAAGAAACTGAACAACAGTAAGGAGTGTGAAGCTGTTTTTGACAGTGGAAAATGTCATCACAGCTGTGGAGAAGGCAACAAATTCTCCAGCCACACAGAAATACTTGTTCAGTCTGAGACAGTCCTCACTTGTGAAAGGTTTTGTGAATGCAGCAACTGTGGGAAAGCCTGCACCCAAAGAAGTAACCATAGTCAGCACCAGAAAGTTCACACTGGAGAAAGGCCTTATGAATGCAGCCAATGTGGAAAATTTTTTACCCACAAATCTAGTTTCCTTACACATCAGAGAGTTCACAGTGGGGAAAGACCTTATGAGTGCAGTGAATGTGGAAAATCTTTTACTACTAGGTCTGGCCTCTATTATCATCTGCGAGTTCACACTGGAGAAAGGCCTTATGAGTGCAATGAATGTGGGAAATCTTTTAGTAATAGGTCAATCCTTTGTAATCATCAGAGAGTTCACAGTGGAGAAAAGCCTTTTGAGTGCAGTGAATGTGGGAAATTCTTTAGCCGAAATGGACACCTCAGTGCCCATAAGAAAGTTCATACTGGAGAAAAGCCTTATGAATGCAATAAATGTGGAAAATTTTTTACTGCTAAGACGAGCCTTCATTACCATCAGCGAATTCACAGTGGAGAAAAGCCTTATGAGTGTAGTCAATGTGGGAAATCTTTTACTACTAGCTCTGGTTTCTATTATCATCAGAGAGTTCACAGTGGAGAAAGGCCTTATGAGTGCAATGAATGTGGGAAATCTTTTACTAGTAGTTCTGGTCTCTATTATCATCAGAGAGTTCACAGTGGAGAAAGGCCTTATGAGTGCAGTGAATGTGGGAAATCTTTTACTACTAGTTCTGCTCTCTATTATCATCAGAGAGTTCACAGTGGAGAAAGGCCTTATGAGTGCAGTGAATGTGGGAAGTGTTTTACTGGTAGCTCGAGCCTTAATCGTCATCAGAGAGTTCACAGTGGAGAAAGGCCTTATGAGTGCATTGCATGTGGGAAATGTTTTAGTATTATATCTGATCTTTATGTTCATCAGAGAATTCACACAGGAGAAAGGCCTTATAAGTGCAATGAATGTGGGAAATGTTTTACTGATACGTCAAGTCTTCGTCGTCATCAGAGAGTTCACACTGGAGAAAGGCCTTATGAGTGCACTGAATGTGGGAAATCCTTTAGCCGAAGACAGCTCCTCCATATCCATAGGAAAATCCACACTGGAGAAAAGCCTTGTGAGTGAAAGGAATGTGATAAATCTTATTGAAAGGTGCCACTTCATTAAACATCAGTTCACACTGGTAAAAGGGCCTTATGAATATAGCGAATATAGATGGGACTAATGTTCAAGGAGTTTGAGATTGTAACAGGGTGGGAAGAACCCCTGCAGTTACTGTGCAGCAAATGTACCCTTTCTTGGGACAAACTGAGGCACAGAGAGAATGTATCATCTGTTGTGAACAGCGATCTGTATTCAATGTCAGGTTGCCTGGTTCAGGACATAGGGAATCTGGTCACTTCAGTCCTTTTCTCCCCCTTCCCCCGTTGAGGACAAAAAGACACGTTGTCCATCCGGACACTTTTGCCCCCCACCCCAGGAGCCCTGCTGATACCATAGCCCCATGCTGATGAATAGGGCTGTCTTTTCTCTGGGAAACAACATTGATGGCTTTCTTGGAAATGACTCCCATTCATCTACCCAACCAAACCAGTGCTTATAGTGTTCTTATTCACATTTGTAAAGGAAGACATGTGCAGCCCAGAGACGTTGAGGGAATTCCACAAGACCTCACTACTGCCAGGTCTTTGATGAGAGTGCTTCCTCTACACTGCACCCTTCCAGTGGCCTCTCCTGCTTTGAGCAGGGACTCCCATTTTCTTTGTCCCAAAGATGAACTACCAACACCTGATGTGTTTTCCACCTGGACCTCCAGCTTCATTTTTTCCAGTGTACATCTCCTTCCTGCAAACACCCTCCCTCTTGGGACGTTCTTACAGTGACAGCAGCACCAAGCCAGGTACTGCAGAGGATCATTGGAGTCACCCCAAATGTGACACTGGCTCCACTGCCATATGCAGTGATTCGTTTTCAAGGTCCTTTCCTTCTTTTTCATAAACCCACTTCAGGATGTCCTCGTTTCCCCATTATGCAGTTGACATGCTCACTGTTCTGGGCAGTGTGAAGGACACTGAAGGACTAGGAATGTCCACTGTGGCCCTCACATGGCCTGGTCCCCAAGGCTATTCCTCCTAATCCCTTTTACCATCCCCTTACTGCTCCTCCCCCACCACCCTCCCCAAAATGTAAGTCACCAAATAATGATTTTTAATCAGCAAGAACTTTCCTGCCCCCCTTTTGCGACCTACATTTGACCAACCTAGCTTAAAAGCTAAGACAGAATGCAGGCTGACCCCTCCGATGAAGACTGTAAAATCGCAGTATAAAATCAGTATGATTTTAATTGCTTTTTTCTCATGGTTCTTTTTTTTTTTGGGTGCACTTTGTGGCATGTGGGATTTTAGTTATCCAACCAGGGATTGAACCTCTGCCCCCTGCAGTGGAAATGCAGAGCCATAACTAGTGGACTGCCAGGGGATTCCCTCAGGATTTTTCAGTTTGAGTTATTGTGTTTTTTTTTTAATCTGTCTATTTTTTACCTGCATGTCTTGTTTTGATAAATTTCTATTTCTTTTACCTGCTTTTATTTTGTGAGTTCTTGTCTGTTTTCTCTTTCCTTGACAAGTAAGAGATCAGGGAAACAACAAAGGTATCTGTGAGATTTCACACATTTACCCAATGTGAGTGACTTCTTTTCTGCATGGAACTGTAATTTGGCATAGTGAAAGAATATGTTCTCAATTTTTTCTTAATTTTGGTCTTATGCATAATGTAATGGCCACATACATTATATATGTTAAAGATAAATCTGGGGCTTCCCTGGTGGTGCAGTGGTTGAGAGTCCACCTGCCGATGCAGGGGACACGGGTTCGTGCCCCAGTCCGGGAAGATCCCACATGCCGTGGAGCGGCTGGGCCCGTGAGCCACGGTCACTGAGCCTGCACATCTGGAGCCTGTGCTCCACGACGGGAGAGGCCACGACAGTGAGAGGTCTGCATACCACAAAAAAAATAAAATAAAATAAAAGATAAATCTGCACTATTAACATATGCTACCTCAGGTTTTTTCCTCTTTTTATTCTCAGCCCCCCCCTTTTTTTCCCCACACCACACAGCTTGTGAGACCTCAGTTCCCTGACAAGACATCAAACCCAGGCCCCAGCACTGAAAACCCAGAATCCTAACCACTAGGCCACCAGGGAACTCCCATATCCTACCTCAGTCTTAAGTCCAGATATTCAGTAACACAGTAAATGAAATCCTGGTTTGTAGTCTTTGCCAATTTCCCTGGTGTAAATACTTCCAGCATATCCAATGTCAAATTGCCAACATAATGTCACTGAATATGGAGTTGGGAGGCATTGCCAGGAGCCCACCATTGTATTCTTTTTCTACCTTACAGGTACAGTAGCCACAAATAATTTTAAGAATGTCGCTAGTAAACCATAGTAGAATGATTATAAAGTGACAGGTTTTGCATATTTGTTTTAAAAATCGTTTAATATATGTATAGTTGACTGAAAATAAATTACATGTATCTTAAATGTACATTTTAACACTGTGATACTTGTGTAAAGCCCTGAAACCAGTTTCCCCCTGTCACTTTTAATTCATCCTCAAAATTAAAAATACTGATGCAAGAGCATATTCTACTTTTGAAATAACTTTTTTCAAATGTATATATAAATGGAATGACTGTGTAGGAACCTTCCTGTATATTACATCATTTACTGTATTTTGTAGATTTTTTGTGTTTGTGTATCGTGATTTACTTAGTGGTTTTTACAATTTATAATCCCAGGTATGTCTTTGAATACATAAATTTCTTTTTTTTAATTTATTTTATTTACTTTTGGCTGTGTTGGGTCTTCGTTGCTGCACACAGGCTTTCTCTAGTTGCAGCGAGTGGGAGCTACTTTGCAGTGCATTGGCTTCTCATTGCAGTGGCTTCTCTTGTTGTGGAGCACGGGCGCTAGTCGCATGGGCTTCAGTAGTTGCAGCCCTTGGCATGTGGGATCTTCCCAGACCAGGGATCGAACTCATGTCCCCTGCATTGGCAGGCAGATTCTCAACCACTGCACCACCAGGGAAGCCCCTGAATACATAATTTCTTAAAATGTGTTTCTAAAATAAGAGCCTTTACATAACTCCAGTAACTTTATTACACATGAAAGTATTCTAAATATCAGTGCATATCAGCGCAAATGGGGACACTGTGTGACAGATTTTGATTGCTAACACACTTCGATGCATCCTGTACCTAAAAACTACCACAGCACAAAGGATTTATGACAGAAGTGAGAACCTGTTTGGGAAATAAAGTGGGAGATGCTGACCTAGCACAGCAGGTGTGGCTACAAAAGTCACAAATACTCCAGCGAGATTTTGGGGCAGGCATGTGATAGAGATGCCCAACATTCTGGTGTGTGGGCCGCACATAATCTCCCAGTCTTCCTGGATAATGTGTGATGAGGTGAGTGCAGACTGGTTTGGAAAGAACAACTTCTCCCACATCATTGCAAGTATGGTGATGCACTGATGGTTTTCAGACCAGGGACTGGGTAACCACCTTGTTACAACCTGGAGATTCACACCTGTGAGCAGCTTTGTTAAGCAAGCAGAAGGACTTGGGGTGGGGTTTTACAGGCTTTATGGGAGGTGTCAGGCTGCATTCAGCACATAGCATTTAGACTTAGGTTTGTCAAGCATGAGTCCCGAGGAGATGTGGGCACGTTCTTGATGATTAGCAATCATTATTTGGTGACATTTTTCTGTTGGGTAGGAGGAGCAGTTAAGCAGTGTGTCCTAGAGTTAGGAGTAAGAGCCTTGGGGACTTGGAGAGGGCTACAGTGAACGTTTCTAGTCCTTCAGTGTCCTTTACAGTGCTTGGAATAGTGACTGGGAGAATTTGGACACACGCACATCATGAAGCAGGTTCATGAAGATGGACATGACCTTGGAAACAAATCACTGCATGTGGTGGTGGAGGCCTCTATCACATCTGAGGTGAAACTGAAGACCTGTGTGTGTTGCTGGGTGGTGCTGCTGTCCCTGTGAAAGTCTTCCTAATAGGGAGGCTGTTTGCAGAGAGGTGGTGTGCACTGGGGATAGTGGAGCTGGAGGCCCTGGTGGAGATGCAGACGTCAGGTGTGTAGAGTTCATGATTGGGACACAGCAGATGGAGTGCCTCCTGGAGGGGCCCCAAGAGATGCCATTGGACAGGTGCAGCTTAGAGGAATCACTCTCATCAAGGGCCTGAGAGCTGTGTACCTTTGTGAAAGTCCCTCCACCTCTCTAAGTTGCAGACTCCTCCTTTCACAAACTGCAGTAATAATAATTACTAGGTATCACTAGGTAGATTGGGTAGATAAATGGGGTCATTCACAGGAAAGCCATCAATGTTGGTTCCCAGTAAAATATACTCTTGTCCCTCAGCATGGGGTGTAGGGTATGAGTAGGGCTCTTGGGTGGAGGGTCACAGGGTATCAGGATGGGCAAGGTGTTCTTTAAAGGAGCCCCCAAAGACTGAAAGATTGAGTTCAACATTAAGTAAAGACAGCTGAGGACTTATAGCCAAGGAGTGAAGGAGTCAGTGGATGGAAAATTACCAACAGAAAACAAGGTAACGGGTGTTCTTGCTAAACCGACTTAGTAAGAATCTTGCTATTCAGATCAGATATCAAGGGTAGGAAATGGGTGTTTGATCAGATATCAATGGGGGAGTTATTCTTACTAAACTGGCTTTTCAGGTTTGATAAAACTGGGCTAAGCAGGCTTGTCCTCCAAACAATATAGGTTCATTTCTCATCTGGTTGTTTTTGTTCATTATGGACCAGCTGAGAGGAAATCAAGGTGGCAGTGTAGGAGGGCATGGAGCTCACGTTCCCCCACGAACACATCAAAAATACATTTACTTTGGAACAATCCTCACTGAAAACTGGCAGAAGGACTCCTGTTCAACCAAGGCTGTAAGAAACATATACATGTAATTGGGCAGGAAGGGAAGAAAAGCAATGTGGTCAGGAGTTGTGGGACTCAGAGAGGAAGGGCGATCACTTGGGCAGTGAGCTCCCTGGGGAGTGAGTGGCTTGAAGTACAGACTAGGTGTTCCAGTCCTCGTGTCTATATTGTGGAGATAAGCCTTCTTGACGGGGTGGAGGACCACTGGGACAGACAGAAAGGCTGGAGGAGCCTGGACTTTGCTTGGGAGGAGTGAGCAAGCAAATGCCTGTCCCTGCGGCCAGGCAGAGAGAGGTCTGCATTAGCAGGTTTTTGCAGGTTTCTGGTGACCAGGATCTTAGCACACCCAAGTCAGAGTGGAGCAAATGCTCTGGCGTCACTAACTCCATGCCAGAGCACGGGACTGCATGTGTGGCCGCCAAGACCTGGGAAAAGAGTAGATGTTTGGAAGCAGAGACAACCTGGTCCCAGTGCAGAGTCAGAGTGGGGCTTTGGTAGCCATTCTTGGCACTTACTCCCCAGGTATATCAGAAGCAGCCCAGTCTTCTGATGGCAGCTGGCTGGCCACAGCTCACCCACCCCACCACACATGCACAGAAACCACAGGGGCCTGCCTTCTCCCTATGGAGTGGTGCTGCAACACAGAGGGAGTGAGGGAGAGTGGAGATACTGATCAGCTGTGAGAGAGCAAGAGGTCTTGTTTCCAATGCAGGGCAGCGATAGGCCTCTAGCAGCTGTTGAGTTCACCATGATCACCTCACCATGGTCCCCAGTCCAGTGAACCCTGTCCAAGCCAAGAAAATGCTCCAGCCCACTGCATGCCACAGTGCAGCACTGGATCTGGGGCAGCCACAACTGGGGAAAAGACACTAGATTGCATCTGAGCATAGCCACAGAGGCCTACACAGACAGCATACCAGACCGCTGTATGCACGAAAATCCCACTTGCTTCAACACTCCCTTCCTGTGGCTAAATTCCCAGTGTGGGGAGAAGGAAGGACACACAATTAATGGGAACAGAGCCAGCCCCAGCCCGACCCTCATGGCTTCTGGTCCTGCAACTTGGGATCAGGTCTCACACCCGGAGCTGGCTGTAGTCCCTCAATCTCCAGTCTCAGCCCTTACTGTGGTGATAGCTGCCATCACGCTCTGAGGAAAGACGTGACTTGCACCCACATCAAATCCAACCCTCCCACCAAAAGCATTGGGTATATCCACTCTGCATAGTCATAGTCCCTCAGAAGGCCACCCCTTCAAGACCCCAAAGGGAAACTGTATCACCTAAGTTTATAGAGGTAGAGAAAGTTAAATAAAATGAAAATTGCCAATGAAATACTCTCAATTGAGAGAAAGAGAAAACCCCTGAAAGAATAAACAATGAAACAGAAATAACTGTTACAATGTAAATAATTCAAAACATTGGTAATAAAAATATTAACTGAACTAGGAAAAATAATTGAGCTAAACACTGGATATTTTAACAGAACTAGAAAACAAAAGGAGACCCAATGAAAAATAAATACTTCAAGGGAGTTCTCTGGTGGCCTAGTGGTTAGTATTCTGGGCTTTCACTGCTGTGGCCCAGGATCAATCCCTGGTTGGGGAACTGAGATCCAACAAGCTGCGTGGAGCGGCCAAAAAAAAAGTTCAGTGGCTCAAATAAAAAGCACGCTAGCAGGAATGAACAGCAGAGGAAGAGAGACAGAGAATGCATAAGTGGTCTGGAAGATAGAATAATGGAAATCACAGAATCAGGAAAGCAGGCAGAAAAACTATGTTTTTTAAATGAAAGGAATGTACAAGATCTCTAGGATAACGTTGTGTCCCAATATTCGAATTATAGGGGTTCCAGAAGGAAAAGAGAGGGAGCATGGGAACAAAAATATTTTTCAAGACATTATGGCTGAAAATTTCCTTTACCTGAAGAAGGAAACTGGTATTAAGGTACAGGAAGTATTGATACACAGGATCCCAAACAAGATGAACCCAAACAGACCCACACCAAGACATATCATAAGAAAATGGCAAAAGTTGAAGATAGAGTTCTCAATGCATCAAGAGAAAAAGAAAGAGTCATAAACTAGGGAATCCCAATAATGCTATCAGCTGTTTTCTCTGCAGACGCTTTGCAGGCCAGAAGGGAATGGCAGGATATATTCAAAGTGCTGAAAGGGAGAAAGCTGCAACCTAGGATACTCTACCCAGCAAGATTATCATTTAGAAAAGAAGGAGAGATAAAGAACTTCCCAGATCAGCAAAACCCAAAAGAATTAATCAATACTAATCCTACCATAATAGAAATGTTGAAGAGTCTTCTCTAAATGGAAAATAATAATAATCTTCAGGAAAGGGAAAATTCCACTAGGGAAGGCAAATATATAGTAAAGAATGAAGATCGTTTAAATAAGCTGGTAAGTAAATTTTTAAAAAATGTAGACACAACAGGATAAGCACAAAGATGTAAAATATGACATCAAAAACACAAATACAGTAATTATTATTATTTTTTGGAGGAGGCCCTGTAACATGACTTGTGGGATCTCAGTTCCCTGAACAGGGATGGAACCCTGCCACGGCAATGAAAGCGCTGAATCCTAACCACAAGGCGAGCAGGGATCTCTTCAGAAATCAACTACAATAAGAAAAACGGGAAAAAAACAAATATGTGGAGTCTAAATAACATGCTACTAAACCAATGGGTCAGTGAAGAGATCAAATGGGAAAGCAGCAAATATCTTAAGACAAATGTAAACTGAAGCACAACACTCCAAAATTTATGGGATGAAGCAAAAGCAATTCTAGGAGGGAAGTCTATAGCAATGCAGGCCTCAAGGAACAAAAGACAACTCAAATAAATAGCCTAACCTACTATCTATGAGAATTAGAAAAAGAAGAACGACAAAGGTTCCCTTCCCCCTTAAGAAGACTGGAGCCCCTAAACTACTACCTATGAGAATTAGAAAAAGAACAATAAACCTTCCCCGCTCCCTTAAAAAGATAGGGGTCCCTTTCCCGCCCTAGAAGTCATTTTCCAGTGCTTCCGTGGTGCAGCTTGGCTTTTTCCGGGCGATTCAGGTGCGGGGTGACATTCCCTGAGTCCTTGGCACTACATTACCCAGAAGAATTTGCGCTAAGACAGCGACGTTCATCCAATGAAAATCCAGGAAGGGGGCATTTCCGGGAGGGCGAACCTCCGGGAGAAGAACTTCCGGCGTCCTCGTGGCGCCCATTTTGATCGTGGAGCTAGTCGGAAGGTCGGAGTGTGTGGTGATGGGAGCGAGGTGACGGGCCAAGAAGACGCAGGAGGAGGCTTTGTACACACTGCAAAGGGACGGCCTGAGTGTTGGGGACACCGCCGCCTGCGGGGTGCATCGGTACAAAGTCCGACAGGACCCCTCGACTGTCGCGACTCCTCTCCTCCCAGGAGCTCCGATGGCGGCGGCTGCGCTGACGGACCCGGCTCAGGTAAATGCTGAGGGCTCCGGGTTCTCCCCTGCCCGTTTCCCCACCCAAATACGAAACTCCTGAGTGAGAGGCGTCTGGTCCAGGACAGTGAGGCCTGCAGGGGTGGTGTCCCTATTTCTGACCACCGTTGTAATGTGGTCTGAGTGAGGCTTGGAGATACAACTGAAGCAGGAATATTCGGGAACCCGGAGTCCATCTTGTTTCTGCGAGGAACGCAGTTTGAGGCCAGGCTGCACCTGGAGTGGTAGATGAGTGGTTGTGTTTCTCTTCTTAGGGCCCTGGGAGCGGTGGAGAGTTTTGAATAAAGGAAGGGCACAATCTGAGCTAGGCTTTTAAAAATAATCCAAAGTGTTCAACGGAAAGCAGAATGTAGGGGAATGATGAGGGCACTGAGGCAGAGGGAAGTTGTGGCTTTTTTCAGGGTCACAACTGGTAAGTGGGAGCACTGAGGATGGAGGCACAGAGGAGAGGTTAGTAAGTCAGCCAGAGTTTACCTGGCTCTGGTATTGGGCACAGGTCCAGGGAAAGTGTGAGCCCCTGAAGCACTGCTTACGTCACTTTCCTCCATCGCCTGCCTTTTCCCACAGATTCCATGGGCTGGAGAAGCACTTTGGGCAAGTGGCGGTTGTCCCAGTCCCTCACTTGTTCTCACCCCCCACGCACACATTCTGTGTATTTGAGGTGTCTTAGGGTTCTTCACCTGCCATTCTCCCAGCACTTTGGTTTGGGGACCCTGGAGAACCCCATGCTTGGTTTTCTGAGTGCAGGCCAGCTTTTGTGGAGGGGGTTCTAGTTTCCCACCACTGATGAAATGAGGTGTGGAAGGTTACTCCTGGAACCGGTACCAGTATGTGGCAGTGATTTTTTTTTTTTTTCTTTTTGCGGTACGCGGGCCTCTCACTGTTGTGGCCTCTCCCGTTGCGGAGCAACAGGCTCCGGACGCGCAGGCTCAGCGGCCATGGCTTACGGGCGCAGCCGCTCGGGGGTATGTGGGATCTTCCCGGACCGGGGCACGAACCCGTGTCCCCTGCATCGGCAGGCGGACTTTCAACCACTGCGCCACCAGGGAAGCCCGGCAGTGTTTTTTAATGTTATTTTTGGCCCCACCACACGGCATGCGGGATCCTTAGTTCTCCCACCAGGGATTGAACCTGTGCCCGCTGAAGTGGAAACTCGTAGCCTTAACCACTGGACCACGAGGGAAGTCCCTGTGGCAGTGTTTTGAGGTGAGGCTGAGCTTGTTTAGGTAAGTGCAGGTCTCCTTTTTTCTGATGGAAATAAACAGGGAAGAACTGGAGTTAGACTTGAAATGACTGCCTGTGTATTCTGGAGGCAATGGGAGTTTCAGATCAAAGGAGGGAGGTTCTCTTCCCCAGGTCTTGAGAGGCTCCATCTGGTTGGGTGGTAGGGGAAATGTGTGGGAAGATGGACTGTGGGTTTTCAGGAATGAGACTGTTCATGGTTATATTTGTCCCTGTTATACCAGGGCAGTGTGACCTTTGAGGATGTGGCCGTGTACTTCTCCTGCGAGGAATGGTGTCTTCTTGATGAGGTTCAGATACACCTGTACCTTGATGTCATGCTGGAGAACTTTGCCCTTGTCTGCATGCTGGGTAAGGCCCTCACACCCATCCCCATCCTCTGAGATAGGCTCTGCCTTTCTCTTTTTCCCCAAGGGTAGTTCTGTCCTTCTTACATCTGGACCATGGGCACTGCTTTCTTCTTAAAGTTATGTGCTGCAGTTACAATGGCTAGGCAGAGTTCATCCCTACTCCTTAGTGCCATGAAACTTGTAGCCCCAAAGTCTTGCAGGTGACAATTCAGGTTCATCAGTGTTGCAGTCCGCTTTAGAGATCCCTCCTTGCTTGCCCTCTCCTGGGCTAAGTGAGGGTACGGATCCATACTACCCAAAGTTTGCTCCATTTCTGCACTCGACAGTATTTATTTATTTATCTATCTGTCTGTCTATCTATCTATCTATCTATTTATTTATGGCTACATTGGGTCTTCATTGCATGTGGGCTTTCTCTAGTTGAGCCGAGTGAGAGCTACTCTTCTTTGTGGTGCATGGGCTTCTCATTGCAGTGGCTTCTCGTTGCAGAGCATGGGTTCTAGGCCTGTGAGCTTCAGTATTTTTGGCATGCAGGCTCTATGGCACAGGATCAGTAGTTGGGGTGCATGGGCTTAGTTGCTCCGCGGCATGTGGGATCTTCCCGGTGCAGGGATCGAACCCATGTCCCCTGCATTGGCAGGCAGGTTCTTAACCACTGCACCACAGGGAAGTCCTTAAAATATTAAATAAGGAACTACAGTATGATCCAGCAATTCCACCTCTGTGTGTTTATCCAAAGGGTGTGAAATCATATCAAAAAGATATCTGGGGACTTCCCTGATGGCACAGTGGTTAAGAATCCACCTGCCAATGCAGGGGACACAGGTTCGAGCCCTGGTCTGGGAAGATCCCACATGTTGTGGAGCAACTAATCCCGTGTGTCACAACTACTGAGCCTGCGCTCTAGAGCCCGTGCTCTGCAACAAGAGAAGCCACTGCAATGAGAAGCCCATGCACCACAACAAAGAGTAGCCCCTGCTCGCCACAACTAGAGAAAGCCCACGTGCAGCAACAAAGACCCAAAGCAGCCAAAAATAAATAAATAAATTTATTTTAAAAAAACAACAAGATATCTGTACTCCCTGTTTATTGCAGCATTATTTACACTATCCGAGACATGAAAAGAACCTAAGTGTCCATTGATGGATGAATGGGTAACAAATGTGCTGTATGTGGAACACTATTCAATATTGTTCAACCATTAAAAAGAAATCCTGCCATCTTTAATAACATGGATAGACCTTGAGGGCATTATGCTAAGTGAAATAAGTCTGACAGGGAAAGACAAATACAGTTGTTTGCCAGTTTCCAGAGAGGATTGATTCCAGGAGCCCCTGCATATACTGAAATCTGCAGATGATGAAGTTTCACAGTCAGCCCTGTGATTCTGAAGTTTTGCATTTGTGGATTCATTCAACTACTGATCACGTGGTGCTGTGTTTATTTAATTAAACGTAACCATGTGTAAGTGGACCCATGCAGTTCTAACCCATGTTGTTCAAGAGTCAGTTGTACTCCATAATTACACATACATGGGGAATCTTTTCCTTTTGGCTGTGACGAGTCTTAGTTGCGGCATGCGGGATCTTCATTGAGGCATGTGGGATCTTTCGTTGGGATGCTCAGGCTCTTCGTTGTGGCACAAGCTTCTCTCTAGTTGTGGTGTGCAGGTTTTTCTCTTCTCTAGATGTGGTGCGCAGGCTCCAGGGTTTGTGGGCTCTATAGTTGTGGCATGCAGTCTCTAGTTGAGGTGCGTGAGCTCAGTAGTTGTGGCGTGTGTGCTTAGTTTTCCCGCAGAATGTCAGATCTTAGTTTCCTGACCAGGGAATCGAACCTGCATCCCCTGCATTGGAAGGCGCATTCTTTACCACTGGACAACTGGGGAAGTCCCTGGAATCTTTAAGGAAAAACACACACACACACCCCAAACTCAGAGACAGCACAGAAATTAGTGGTTGCCGGAGTAGGGGATGGGTGAACAGGGTTAGATGAAATGCGTGAATGGTGTCAGAAGCTACAGACTTCTAGTTGTAACGTGAATAAGTCCTGGGGATGTAATGCATAGCTTAGTGATTATAGTTAATTATACTGTATGGTGTATTTCAAATTTGCTAAGAGAGTAAATCCTAAAAGTTCTCATCAGAGGAAAAAAATTGTATTGTGGTGTTAACTAAACTTATTGTAATCATTGCACAACATATACACATATCAAATTATGTTGTACAGCTTAAACAAATACAATGTTTCACATCAATTATATGTCAGTGAAGCTTTTAAAATTCTACAGTGCTCTTCCTTTCTCTGAAACCCAAATTTCTGATCTTTATTATTTTCCATCTCTCTAAAGAACTTTTTTTAAATGAATTCCCATGATTTTTGTGCATCTAAGAACATGTTTATTTCACCATCACTGTTGAAGAGTAATTTTATTGCATTCTGAATTCTAGGCTGACATTGGCCACCCCCCAACCCCACCCCTGCCAAGCTTTAAATGTTTCACTCCTTTCTCTTGTTTGCATGATTTCTGAAAATTCAGATGTTATTCTTTTTGTTGCTTCCCCATGACTAAAGTGTTTATTCCTCTGGTTTCTTTTGGGATTTTTTTTTCTTCTGTATTTGAATGTGATATGCTTAGGTGTAGTTTTGTTGTTGTTGTTTTTTAAAATAAATTTATTTATTTATTTACTTATGGCTGTGTTGGGTCTTCATTTCTGTGCGCAGGCTCTCTCTAGTTGCGGTGAGCGGGGGCTACTCTTCATTGTGGTGTGCGGGCTTCTCATTGTCATGGCTTCTCTTGTGGAGCGTGGGCTGTAGGTTTGCAGGCTTCAGTAGTTGTGGCATGTGGGCTCAGTAGTTGTGGCTTGTGGGCTCTAGAGTGCAGGCTCAGTAGTTGTGGCACACAGGCTTAGTTGCTCCACAGCATGTGGGATCTTCCTGGACCAGGGCTTGAACCTGTGTCCCCTGCATAGGCAGGTGGGTTCTTAATCACTGTGCCACCAGGGAAGCCCCAGCTTAGGTGTAGTTTTTTGGCATTAAACCTGCTTGATGTTCTCTGAGCTTCCTGGATCTGTGGGTTGGTGTCTGACATTAATTTGGTGGAAATTCTCCATGATTATTGCTTCAAATATTTTTTCTATTCCTTATTCTTTTTTTCTTTTGATGTTTCTATATATGTATGTTAAAGTATTTGCAGGTGTTATACAGTTTTTAAATATTCTTTTCTTTAGTCCTTTTTCTCTTTGTTTTTCAGTTTTAGAAGTTTCTACTACAAGAACCTCAAGCTGAGAGATTCTTTCCTGAGTTGTGTCCAGTCTTAATAAGCCCATCCTATTCATTCTTCATTCCTCTTCTCTTCTTTTTGATCTCTAGCATTTCCTTTTGGTTCTTTATTAGAATTTTCATCTCTGCTTTCATTGCCTTTCTTGTCTTGTATGCTGTCTGCTTTATCCATTAGCAGGCATTAATTAGCATATTAATCATAATTGTTTTACATTACCAATTTGATCATTCCAACAGCCCTGTGATATCCCTCCCTCCCTCCCTCCCTCCTTTCTTCCTCCCCTCCCCTCCCTTCCCTTCCATTCCCAGCATGCAAGATCTTATTTCCATTACCAGGGATCGAACCAGTGCCCCCTACAGTGGAACTGTGGAGACTTAACCGCTGGATCCCTAGAGAAGTCCCTCCCTGTGATATCTGATTCTGGTTTTGAAGCTTCCTTTGCCTTTTCAAAATTTGTTTTTTGGCCTTTTAGTTGGCCCTGTAATTTTTTTCTTTGTAACTGGCATGATGTATTCCCTAAAAGGAACCATTGTAGATAGGCCTTTATTGATGTGTTGGTAAGATGTGGAGAGTGGAAGCATGCATGTTGCTGTTAGCATTCATATTATATTTAATTTTCAATCTTTTAATGAGCCTGTGTGTCTGGATCCTGAACTTCACAACTTCTTCTCAATTTAATTTTCCCTCCCTTAGTTGGGACAGGATGGGTATTGGGGGCTGTAGTTGGGTATTTCCTCTTTCCCAGGTAAGTTAGGCTCTGATAAAATCACAGTAGGTTTGGCTCTGGTTAAGTAGTTTCTACTGAGGGCAGGCTTTGTTAAGAACAGAATGTTCAAAAAAAAAAAAAAGAACAGAATGTTCTGACAATTTTGTTTTTCTAATCTTCATTTCTTTTTTCAGAAGGTTTTGTTTAGTTTGTTTGTTTTGTAGTTCCTCAAGTTGTAAAGGTACGTTGTTGATTGATGATATTTCTTTGTTTATATGTAAGCATTTATAGATGTAAATTTTCTCCTTAATACTGCTTTTGTGGCATCCTATAAGTTTTAGTATGTTATATTATTGTTTTCTTTAGTCTCCTAAGTATTTTCTAGTTTCTTGAGTGAGTTTTTTTTCATGGACCTATTGGTTGTTTCAAAGCATGTTGTTTAATTTCCAGAAATTTGTGGATATTTGTTTTCCATATGTGATTGATCTCTATCTTCAATCTGTTTCAGTTGGAGAGGACAGTTTGTATGATCTTTATCTAATTTAAACTATTGTTCCTGTCTATTGCTGAGAGCAGAGCATTGAAGTGTTCCCATACTATAGTAGAACTGTTTCTCTTTTCAGTTGTCAGGTTTTGCTTTATATCTTTTGATTGTCTATTATGAGGTGTGTAAATATATATACTTATTTTTATTTTTTTATTTATGTTTGGCTGCGTTTGGTCTTTTTTTTGTTTTTTTTTTTTTTTTTGCGCGGGCCTCTCACTGTTGTCGCCTCTCCCATTGTGGAGCACAGGCTCCAGACATGCAGGCTCAGCGGCCATGGCTCATGGGCCCAGCTGCTCCGCGGCATGTGGAATCTTCCCGGACTGGGGCATGAACCCACATCCCCTGCATCGGCAGTTGGACTCTCAACAACTGTGCCACCAGGGAAACCCTTTTTAAAAATTTATTTATTTTATGTATTTATTTTTGGCTGCGTTGGGTCTTCATTGTGGCATGAGGCTTTTCATTGTAGTGGCTTATCATTGCAGAGCACAGGCTGTAGACATGTGAGCTTGAGTAGTTATGGCACGTGGGCTCAGTAGTTGTGATACATGGGCTTAGTTGCTCCACAGCATGTGAGATCTTCCCAGACAAGGGATTGAACCTATGTCCCCTACATTGGCAGGCAGATTCCCAACCACTGCACCACCAGGGAAGTCCCTAGACTTCTTTATTGTTTGATATGAATAATAGCCACCCCTGTGTTATTTTGGTTACTATTTGCATGAAATACCTTTTTCTAACCTTTCAATTTCAATTTAATTGACTTTTGTCAACAGCATACAGTTGGATCATTTAAAAAAATCTGTCAGTCTGTCTTTTGCTTTGAGTGTTTAATCCATTTACATTTAGAGCAATTACTGATAAGAGGTATTTTTGTCATTTTGCTCTTTGTTTTCTGTATGCCTTAGAACTTGTTCCTTAATTTTTGTTATTTTCTCTTTTTGTATTTAGTTAAATTTGTTTAGTCATATGTTTTAATTGTCTGTTCATTTCCTTTGTGTACATTATATGATTATTTGTAGTTACCATGGGGATTGCATTTTATATCCTAAACCCACCAGCATACTAATTTTAATTTACACCAGCTTACCATCAATAACATTACAAAAACATTTCTGCTTCTGTAGTGCTCTGTCCCCACTATTTTCTAGTATTGATTTTACAAAGTTACATACTTGTATGTGGTGTGTTTAAGCTGAGACTACGGTTTCTTTAAATGCATTATTCTCTGCAATCAGGTAGAAAACGAAAAAGTGCTGTTATAAACTTACAATCACAGTAGCTTTTATAATTTTCTATGGATTTACCTTTATCAGAGACCATCATTTCTTCAAATAACTTTGAATTACCGTTTAGTGTTTTTTTTTTCATTTCCACCTGAAAGAATCCATTTAGCATTTGCTGCAAGACAAGTCTAGTGTTAAAGAACTTCTTTAGCTTTTGTTTACATTGGAATATGTTAATTTTCCTTAGTTTTTGAAGGATGTCTCCCTGATGTAGGGTTATTGGTTGACACGTTATTTTCCTTCAACAATTTAAATATGTCAGCCCACTGCTTTCTGGCCAGATTTCTGATTAGAAGTGTGCTGATAACCTTCTTGGGGATCCCTTGTCTGGAATGAGCCACTTCTCTTGCTGATTTCAAGATTCTTTGTCTCTGCATTTCAACAGTTTTATTATAATGTGCTGCAGTATGGCTCTCACAGTCTATTCTGCTTGGAGTTTATTTAGATTTTGGGATGTTCCTATTCATATCAATCCATAAGTGTGCTATGTTTTTCTGTTCTGAATCCCTCTAGTGTTTTTTTTTTTTTTCACTTCAGCAGTTGTACTTTTCAGTTCCCAAATTTCCTTTTTTGCAATACTTATACTTTCTATCTCTTTACTGTTATTCCTACTTTGTTCAGGCAACACTTTTTTTTCTGTACACCTGTTTTTTTTTTCTTTTTAGTTATTTGAACATCCTTTAGTCAGTTTTTAAGTCTTTCTACTTAGTTCGCCATCTATTTTTTGTGTACCTGTTTATAAGTTACAGTTGCGGTTGATTTGTTATTTTCCTTTGCATCATACGTTCCTGTTTCTTTGTATGTCTTGTGAGTTTTTTTCATTGAAAACTGAGCATTTGTATCTTATAATATTGTAATGCTGGAGATCCTGTTTTCACTTTAACAAGGGTTTGCTGGTATGGGCTTCTCTTTGTTTTTGATGTTTTCAGGTGACTCTTTCCTGGATATCAACATGAGCTGTAAACTTAAGGGGTTTTCACTGTGCCTTTCTTGGGGGTGCACTATGACTTTTGCAATTCCTCTATATAAGTGGCTGATTTTGAATGTCTTAGTCCTTAAATATCTCACTCTCCAAAAGTGAAAAACCAGAAAAATGAAGAGTGAGAAAAGAGACACTGGCCCTTAAAATCAGGTGGGGAGACGGATTCATAACACCTTGTACTCCATCCACTGTTGTTCAGGTTGGGAGTGGATTCCTAACACCTATTACTCCATCCAGTGTTTTTCAGGTAGGGAGATGGATTCCTAACCCATCCCCTGTTTTACAGGTGGGGAGAAAAACACCTAACATTTTGTTTCCTAGCATTTTGTACTCCATCCACTGTACATTCTTCCCTCTGGCTCCACTGACGTTTCTGTTTGTAGTATTTAAATATCGTTCCTTTGTCTGTTGTGTGCTTAGTTCCCCTGGGTTCGTATTTGCCACTCACCCATCCTGACATTCCATTAGGCCTTGTGTCATATGTGTCCCATGTAGTTGTTCAACTGGGGATGGAGAGTCCTTGGGGCTTCATGGGATGGACATGACTCTGGTCTCAGCAAAAAGAGCTCACAGGTAGTCTGGCCAAGATGAATGGCAGCTGGCAGAGGGCTTGATATCAGGTCTGTGTTTTAAGTCATATCAGGAACATATCTTGTGTGATTAGTGTTTTAGCCCCATTGCCAGTGGCCCCAAATCACTTCTTTTGTCTTTTCTCCATTCTTGGTACTCTGCCAACTTGTCATTTCTATGACTACTCATTTTTATTCTGACTGCAGCCTGGGATTTATTCCCTACCACCTCTCTAAGCCACTTCTCTCATGTAGTCTTCACATTGTTTTCTCTATAGTACTTTATGACATTGTGCAGGTATCTTTGAATGGCATTAGACAGGTATACTTTAATGTTCCATGAATACCAGCTACTGTTTCAGTAAGATTTTCTGGTGCATGGGCATATACTTGTGCACAGTATCACAGATCAGCAGCAGTTGTGGTCCTAGTGAAAGCCATTGACAGAGGAGTGAACTGTAGAACATGCCTTTCACCCTTGGGCCACATCCAGTCCTTGTGTCCTGTGCTTGGTGAGGCCGTGTCAATTCTGTGACCTTAAGTCCCAATAATGCAGAACAGCTGCATCCTCAATTTGACCCCAACTCCATTTACTGAACACAGTCCCATGGATTGGTTCTTTCATGTGTCAGACATACAGTTGTGATGGTGTCACCCCCATCCAACGTCAACATGAATTTCACCATCACGTCTTTGTTTTCAGGTTCTTGGCGTGGAGTCGATGAAGAGACACCTTCTGAAGAGAACATATGTGTGGAGGGAGTATCACAGATTAGGACCCCCAGGGCAGGTTCATCTCCTGAGAAGGCCCAGCCCTGTAAGATGTGCGTCCCAGTCTTGAGAGACATTTTGCACTTGGCTGAAGAGCAGGGAACAAATAGGGGCCAGAAAGCATATACATGTGGGGCATGTGGGAAACAGTTCTATTTCACTGCAAACCTTCAACAGCACCGGAAGCAGCACATTAGAGAGAAACCCTTCCGATATGATGTGAGGAGACTTGCATTTCTGAAGAGCTTCACAGTCTATGCATCAGGGAATCTCTCTGTGTACAGTGAAATTGGGAAGAAATTAGCAACCAACATGGGACTTCAGCAACAGGCCACTAATATCAGGAAGGAACAAAACAACAGTCATGAATGTGAAGCTGTTTTTCACAGTGGAACAATTCATCGGAGCTGGGGAGAAGGCAGGAAATCCTCCAGCCACACAGATATGTATGAGAGAGTCATCACTAGTGAAGCGTTTTGTGAGTGCAGCAAATGTGGGAAAGCCTGCACCCAAAGTTGTAATCTTATGCAGCACCAGAGAGTTCACACTGGAGAAAAGCCTTATGAGTGCAGCGAATGTGGGAAATCCTTTAGTCGAAGCCACCACCTCAGTGTGCATAGGAAGATCCACACCGGAGAGAAGCCTTATGCATGCAAGAAATGTGCTAAATCTTTTCTCCAAAGGTCCAGCTTCATTCAACATCTGAGAGTTCACACAGGAGAAAAGCATTATGAATGCAGTGAATGTGGAAAATCTTTTAGCAAAAAGTCCAATTTCCTTCAACATAAGAGAGTTCATACTGGAGAAAGGCCTTATGAGTGCAGTGAATGTGGGAAATCCTTTATCCATAGATGTCAACTTTTTATACACCAGAGAGTTCACACAGGAGAAAGGCCTTATGAGTGCAGTGAATGTGGGAAATCCTTTATTCATAGATGTCAACTTCTTATACACCAGAGAGTTCATTATACACCAGAGAGTTCACACAGGAGAAAGGCCTTATGAGTGCAGTGAATGTGGGAAATCCTTTATTCATAGATGTCAACTTCTTATACACCAGAGAGTTCACACAGGAGAAAGGCCTTATGAGTGCAGTGAATGTGGGAAATCCTTTATTCATAGATGTCAACTTCTTATACACCAGAGAGTTCACACTGGAGAAAGGCCTTATGAGTGCAATGAATGCGGGAAATCTTTTACAGCTAGGTCTGCCCTCCAAAATCATCAGAGAGTTCACACAGGAGAAAGGCCTTATGAGTGCAGTGAATGTGGAAAATCCTTTATTCATAGATGTCACCTTCTTATACACCAGAGAGTTCACACAGGAGAAAGGCCTTATGAGTGCAGTGAATGTGGGAAATCCTTTATTCATAGATGTCAACTTCTTATACACCAGAGAGTTCACACAGGAGAAAGGCCTTATGAGTGTAATCAATGTGGGAAATCTTTTACAGCTAGGTCTGGCCTCCAAAATCATCAGAGAATTCATACTGGAGAAAGGCCTTATGAGTGTAGCCAATGTGGGAAATCCTTTATCCATAGATGTCAACTTCTTATACACCAGAGAGTTCACACAGGAGAAAGGCCTTATGTGTGCAGTGAATGTGGGAAATCTTTTATTCATAGATGTCAACTTCTTATACACCAGAGAGTTCACACAGGAGAAAGGCCTTATGTGTGCAGTGAATGTGGGAAGTCCTTTATTCATAGATGTCAACTTCTTATACACCAGAGAGTTCACACAGGGGAAAGGCCTTATGAGTGCAGCCAATGTGGGAAATCGTTTACTGCTAGGTCTGGCCTCCGAAATCATCAGAGAGTTCATACTGGAGAAAGACCTTATGAGTGCAGTGAATGTGGGAAATTGTTTATTGTTATTTCTGGCCTTATTAAACATCAGAGAGTTCACACAGGAGAAAGGCCTTATGAGTGTAATGAATGTGGGAAATCTTTCACTGCGAGAGCTGGCCTCCAAAATCATCAGAGAATTCACACGGGAGAAAGGCCTTATGAGTGTAAGGAATGTGGGAAATCTTTTACTGCGAGATCTGGCCTCCAAAATCATCAGAGAGTTCACACAGGAGAAAGGCCTTATGAGTGTATGGAATGTAGGAAATCTTTTACTTCTAGGTCTGGCCTCCGAAATCATCAGAGTGTTCATACTGGAGAAAGGCCTTATGAGTGCAGTGAATGTGGAAAATCTTTTAGCCAAAGACAAATCCTCAGTACCCATAGGAAAATCCATACTGGAGAAAGGCCTCATGAGTGCAAAGAATGTGGTAAATCTTTTATCCAAAAGTGCAGCTTAATTCATCATCAGAGAGTTCACCGTGGAGAAAACGCCCTATGAATGCAGCCGATATGGACGCCACTGGGGTTTGGAGGAGTTTGACATGGTAACAGAATGGGAGGAACAGGTGCAGTCATCATGCAACAGATGGACCATTTCTAGAGCGGAAACTCAGGGTGAGAGAAAGGGTGTCATCTGCTGTGAACTCCCAGCAATGGACAGGGATTTAGGATACAGTGCTAGGTTGACTGGTTCAGGCCATGAGGAGTCTGGTCACAGCACTCCTCTTTCACTCCCTACCCTGCTTTGGGGACTCAAAGAACACTTTGTCCATTCGGACACCCTCTTGTCACCCCCACACAGACACAAAGAGGCCTGCTTAGGACACCCCCTCCTCCCCACATGTGACTTGACAGGACTGTCGTTTCACTGGGAACAAATATTGATGGCTTTCCTATGAATGATCCGACTTATGTACCCGATAATGATCTGGTCCTGCTAATAACTCCATGCCACAGGTTTTCAGTGGATGTGGGGCAGCCAAATTTGAGGAACAGACTCTACCTTGGGATGTGGATGTGACCCAATCCCAGGACAGAGAAGACTAATCAATATAGAACACCACATTAACAGAAGGAAGGATGAAAAATAACATGATCATCTCAGTAGACAGAGAAGAAGCATTTGACAAAATTCAGCATCCATTCATGATGAAAACCCATACAGGTGGGTATAGAGGGAACATATCTCAATAAAGGCCATTTATGACAAACCCACAGCAAACATCATACTGGTGGAAAGCTGAAAGGCTTTTTCCTAAATTCAGGAAGAAGAGAAGGATGCCCACTCCCAAAACTTCTATCTCACATAGTATTGGAAGTCCTAGCCCCAGCAATCAGACAAGCAAAAGCATCCAAATTGGAAGGTAAGAGGTAAAAGAGTATTTTCAGATAACATGATACTTTATATAGAAAACCCTAGTGTCCACCTCAAAACTTTTAGAACTAATTAAAGAATTCAGTAAAGCTATAGGATATAGTACAAATATACAGACATCTGTTGCATTTCTATACACTAATAATGAACTTTCAGATAAAGTAAAAAAATAAAATTGCTTCAGATCGCATCAGAAAGAATAAAATACCTAGTAGCAAATTAACTGAGGGCTTGAAAGACATATATTCAAAAAACTATAAAACACCGATGAAGATTGAAGATAAAGAAATGGAAAGATATCCTGTGCTCTTGCATTGGAAGAATTAAGATTGTTACAATGACAATACTATGCAAAGCAATCGTGAAATGGACAGAAGACATAATGGAGTTAGAAAAACTATCTGAAGTGATGCAAATGAAGAACACACGTCTATTGTCATATGTGTTCAGTGTCTCAAGAAATATAGCAGCAATCTTGTGAGTAAGGCATATTCTAGTAAATGGGATATATTCATGTCCAAGACATAAAAATGAGTCAGTCCTTATGGAAGCAATATTGTAGTTGATGGAAACTGCACCTAGGTAATTAGATTTCATGGAATATTAGAATGAGATGTTCCTATGAAAAGGGAGCAAAAGAGCAAGTTACAGTTGAGGAAAAATGGGGGCTTGGGATGGGTTGAAAGAGTAGAGTATCCAGAGTAGGACTTTAGTGAAGGTGGACAGTTGTGGAAATACTGTGTTAAGGACAGCTTGCTTTCCTCTTTTCCAATTGTTATATGTTCATTTTCTTTACTGTATTAGAGAGGACCTCTGGCATATTAGGGAATACCAGTGTAAGGCAGTGAACTGCCATCCTACTGATCTCAAGCATCCTATTTATGTCCTTTATATCTAGTCTTTTCAGTCCAGAACCATATAAAGTCGCACAAATTACATTTATTTCTCATCTCTCTTTAATGTCCATTCTGACACAATCTCTCTGATTTCCTTCAAGTTGTTTTCCCTTGGTATCTTTTATACAATACATGACAATTTGTAAATTTCCCTCACTTGGTATACAGTAAGATATCCTTATAAATAGATTCAGATTATGTGGTTTAATGTTTTTATTGTTGCTGTTTTGCTCCCATCCAAGATAATACAAAAGTGCTGCCTTGTCCTTTTCAGTGTACCATATCAGGAAACAAGATGTCTGTTTTCCCAGTATTGGCAGTGTTTCCTTTGATCACTTCTTTATGGTGATATCCTTTGGATTTTGTTCCTACTACTCTGGGAGGCTGAAGAAGGGGTGTAGCAAGACACTGTGATCATCTACTTGTTTCTGAATCTCTCTGGTTTCTGTGTGGAGAGTGAACTTAGGAGGGAAGAACTGATGTAGGAGAGAGGACAGAATCTTTTGTGTAGTTGGGAGCCCTTTGATGATGGACCAGCCCAGGATGGTGGCATTGGAGATGGTGAGGACAGGATGACCTGGGACACATTAGGAGGCAGAGTTGGCAGGATGTGTGCATAATTGAGATGATGGGGTGAGTCCCAGAGAATGATTTTTTTTCCCTTCAGTCCTCAAGTGCGAGCCATTGCATTTGTGGGCCTGAGAGACTTACCTTGTTTTCTTAGATTTCTGAATCAGCTGTCAGCTATGTTGAGTAACTGCAGCCAAAGTTTCCAATACCTGGGACACAAAATAGGCAGGATTGCTCCCTGACAGTTATTTGGGTAGATGAGTTTTGTGTGGCCTTGCTTTCCTTGGGCCTGCCAGGGTTAGATGAGGCTGGATAGGAAGACTTGTGTGGTGGTGGTGTGTACATGTAGTATCTGTAGCTGTATGTGTTTGAGCCTGCCAGGGAACATTAGTTATTCTTTGAATAGAAATCCAAAACTTGCCCTCGAACTTCACTTGATGAAAATTAAATCCCTTGCTAAGGAAGTTTAGGGCCATCCAAAAGTACTGACAGCTACTTTGAATATTTATTTCAAGCCATTTAATGTAATTGTTGATATATTTGGGTTGAAATATATCCTTTTATTTTGTGGATTTCTTACCCTGCTCTTTGTTCTTTATCTTGGCCTTTAAAAAATTTTTAACCCTCTATTTATTAGTTATTTGTAATTCAATTTTCTTTACTTCTAGCTTTGAAAATATATACCTTTATTCTATTTATTGTTTAAGCCCCAAATCACTTATTTAACACATTAGAGCACAGAGTTATAAATACATTTTTTCTTCATTCTGCATATTATAAGGGGTTTAAAACATTAATTTTTCCCATAGGAATATATGTTTTTCAAGGTATGCATAGGGATTCTATCATTCTGAATCTGTAAAGAAGTATTACTTATGCTTTACACAATTAGTGACATGTATGTCAATCAACACATGCATTTCTCTCTTCAGTTATCATTCCTTTTGTCATCAGTGATCTTTCAACTGGAATTACAATCCATTGTTCATTGTCCTTGAATAGAACTTTTATTTTTGAATAGAACATTTAATGTTCATTTTTCCAGGTTAATTGTGCATTAATTTTCTCATTTCAAATCGTTTTGTTTCATCCATTCTTGAAGGACATATTTGCTATATATAGAAATCTTGGTTGGCAATTTTCTCTTCAGTGGTGGGGGGAGGTCATATTGACCTTTCTACTGTGGTTTTCTTAATCTTCTTGAGCTACAGAAGATATTCTGTATGCTAAGGTGTGCTATTTTGATGTACTTTACTCTGAACCTATCAAGATCAAAAGGAAATAGGGAATGACTCCTCTTCCCCGCCCCACCTCCTTAGTAGCACAGCAGGCCCCCCTATGGGTTTATTCTTACAGGAAATGCAGAAACACAACCAGTTCCCTTGTAAGGGGTTCTAACCTTCTGCGCTCTAGTCCAAGTGATTTTCATCTGTCCCATTCTGTAATTGTTGATATTTGGTCTCCAGCAGCTATTTACCTTCATGGATTTCACCACTTCTGGGGGTTGCTTTTCCAGACACCCTGAATTGGGAAGACGCTGGGGGTTCTGGGGTTACTGAGTTCATGCCAGTTTTTGCTGGGGTTTCTCAGAAGGACTCAGGCCCAGGAGTGCAGGGTGGAGGGTCCTATGGGCACCCCACAAGGGCTGGTTCGCTCGTGTCTCTTCCTGCTCCCGTGTACCAGAGAGAACATATTGAGACCTTTTCCTCTGTGGACCCATGTGCACCAAGTCGAGGGGCGCCACGTGTGATCTGAGGTGACCTATCAGAGGAGTCAGTGATAAATGAAGAGAGCTAGGTGGTCTCCAGGGTGGGAGATAGGGGAACCAGACTCCCAGATGAGGGCAGGGTGACCTGGGGACACGGGGAAAACCTGGAGATGGTGGCACCGCACAAATGTGGGCCATACGAAAGATCCCTGGGCTAGGACTCCTCCCTGGTCCCATAGGCTGTGTCCCCCATGCTCCCCCAGGGTTGGCCCAAGACACAAAATCCAGAATGTTTGCCCAAAGGCTGAGTCCTTCTTTTTCATTGCTGTGGCCTTGCTCCCTCACAGATGTGCACCCCTGAGTGGCGGTGACCAATCCCCCTTCTGGCTGAATCCTACTTCAGGGCCCAGAGGCCACGTGTGCTTTGATGAGGAAGAAATAAAAGATTTGTGGCCCCTGGGCCCACACTTGAGGGTCTTGGTCCACTCCAGGACGTCCCTGCCCTAAGAGGTCCCAATGTGGGGTTTCAGCCTCGGAGCCATCACTTCCACACTCCCACCTGGACAGCCTTAAGATAGTCTCCCAGGACAGGAAGCATCCTTGACACTGGCCTCAAGACACCCGCCCCCACCACCACCAATCCCCACTCACTCAGCCACAGGAACTGATCTTTTTCCTGAGGCTGAGGAGGTAGAAATGCGGCCTGACCAGCAGAGATGGACCCCTGGGCATCTGCATACAGTTTCTGTGCCTTGAAGGAGGGACCCTGCAGGGAATGAGGGGCCTTTGGTCAGAGCCAGACTCTGGTGTATACAGGCAAGAGACAATAATGCAGGCCCTGGAGGAAGGGGGCCGTTTTTAAGTAGACAAGTGGTCTTCCTAAAGAGCTGTCAGTTGCAAGATGTATTGCTAAATGAGTAACAGACATCAGTGTTATAATGGATATTGGATCTAAGTCATCCAAAGCAAGGTCCTGGAGAGACACCCCATCTTGGTAGGCAGGCAGCGAGCAGGATGTTTCAGCAATTTTAGCTTCTGGAAAAGGAGGTTACCAGCTTTAGCGGGAATTGACATCGTGCTGGCTCATTGTTATCACGGAAAGCAGCAGAGGATCATGCTCCTCACATCCCCTCTGATAACACTATCAAAGTGGAGAGTTTCTGATCTAAAGATTAATCACTAGCTGAGGCCTGGGCAGGTACCCAGGTGTTTGCTGATTAGGCTTTATGTATAAGATGGAAGGTCAGCCATGTGAGTAGGGTGCAGGTGAATCAGACTGCTGGACCAGGGGATGTACAGAGCAAGAGGACAGTCATGGTGGGTGGCCTGATCCATCTCTTGCTGAGCTGTGCACAGTCATTGACTATGCAGACAGGAGAGCCATTTCTGACGTGACCAGAAAAAGCGCTCTCCCTCTTGTCCAGCTGCTTCAGGGCTGCCCAATATCTCCTTTTCCATATTCCTGGTCAGGGTCCTGTCTTACTTTTCTCTTGTCCCTTGCCAAAGTTTACAAGATGACTAACGCTTCAGACCGCATGCGTTTCAAGAACAATAGGATAATGTTTATTTGCTTCCTGTTACCAGTGGATGTCAACTTGGGTTGGCTTCGTGGAGTCTGAGATAACATCCAAACACTTCAGCAATCAGTAGCATTATAGAGCCTTAAATGCTCAACACTCACCGGAAAGTTTCCCCACCCCTGTAAGAAGAATGGAGCCCCCTACCCTCCACCCCGTACCCCACCCCCGCCCTAGAAGTCGTTTCCCAGCGCTCCTCGGGGGCTGCTTGGCTGTTTTCAAAGTGATTCAGGTGTGGGGCCCCGTGCTTCCTTGAGACCTTAGCACTACATTACCCAGGATAACTTGTGTTAAGGCAGCAACGTTGATCCAATGAAAATCCAGAAAGGGTGCATTTCCGGGAGGGCGAACCTCCGGGAGAGGGCCGTCTTCGTGGCGGACATTTTGATTACTGTGGAGTCTGAGGAGCTCGTCAGAAAGTCGAGGTGTGTGGTGTTGGGGGTCAGTTGACGGGGTAAGAAGGCATAGAAGGAGGTCTTGTGCGCACTGTCCAGGGGCGGGTCTCGGGGCCGGGGAGACCGCGGTCTGCGTGCAGTATCCACGCCGAGCCCGACCTGGTCACTGGGCTGTGGGCCCCTCCTCTTGGGGACTCGGTGGCGGCGGCCGTGCTGAGGGACCCGGCTAAGGTAAACGTTGCGTGCTTCGGGTTCTCCCCTGCCCGTTTCCCCACCCAAATACGAACGGCCGGCGTGAGAGGCGCCTGTTTACGTCTGGTTCAAGACAGTGAGGCCTTCAGGTGTCGTGTCCCTATTTCTGACCACCAGTGTAATGTGATCTGGGTGAGCCTTGTAGACGCAACTAAAGGAGGAGCATTCGGAACTTGGAGTCCATCCTGTTTCTGGGAGGAACAAAGTTTGAGACCAGGCTGCACCTGGAGTGGTAGATGAGAGTTGTATCTTTCTCTTTGGGCCCATGGAGCGGTGGAGAGTTGCTTTTTTATAAATGAATGAATGAATGAATGAATTCATTCGTTTACTCATTCATTTATTTATTTATTCATTGATTGATTGATTGCTGCGTTGGGTCTTCGTTGCTGCGCGGAGGCCTTCTCTAGTTGCGGCGAGCCGGGGCTACTCTTCCTTGCGGTGCGTGGGCTTCTCATTGCGGTGGCTTCTCTTGTTGAGGAGCCACGGGCTCTAGGCACGTGGGCTTCAGTAGTTGTGGCTCGCGGGCTCTAGAGCACAGGC